GAATCAGTACGTGTATTCTTGGATATTTTATGTTCAGCAGCTACCTCTTAGGGTAAAGTAAACCGTTCCTCCACACGACACCGTACTGTTAAGAGTTCTTTCTAAAAAAAATCTAAAGAATTTCCTCCATGAAAAACGCTCTAAAAAGTGTCGTTTATGAATAATCCCCCCCCCCAAGATATCTCCACCTTGTCGTGGTCGTGGGGTTTGCGTGACTCTGTGACCTGGAGAGCTATGCCGGCGGTAGCTTAACTATCGGTAGGATCACACATGCCGGAAAGTCAAAGGGTAGAGTCCAGAATAAGAGAGATTTCCTGGTCCTCCAGGTTGGGTGTTGGGCATGAGGCTAACAACCTCATCCTCTAAATAATTTTGTTCAGAAACCTAACAACTATCCTCGGGTCCATTCCTGCGGCAGCAGGCATTGGTTGTGGAGACTGATTCTAGAGGAGGCCAAGGGTCATTTAGGGCTGTAGCGCCGAGAGGTAGGTAGGTAGGTAGGTAGGTAGGTACATGAATAATTTCTGTTGAGCGCTACATTTCATTTTTGAACATTACACGAACAATACTTCGAACGGTGTTTGTATATATCGCAAGGCCAACTAAATTATAAACCATCCCTGATATTGAGATAAGCGAGTGAGGATCTGGTGACGAAATTAGGTTTCAGAAGCCAGCAGTGGACAGGCGTGGGGGAACACATTTCTGACGAGCTAAGGATAAATTACATTCCTTGCATTATACTTATATGAAAATTTTCTCAAAATGATGACGCCAGAAGCTTCTAAATTCCTGGCAATCTCTTATATACCCCAAGTTATTCACTAAAATTTATGGCAGTTACTATCATGCATAGCACTCGTATTGTTGTACCCCAGAAATTCGCAAGCCATCCGCGTTAGCGTTGTTGAGCAATGTCAAGTTGGATTATTCTCAGGGGCATGCAAAGAGAGCTATTAGATGAAAGTAGTTCAATCTCTGAGCATAAAATCAATGAATTAATTTCAAACCGAAGAGGAGTGGGCAAGGGACATGCAAGTAGCTAATACTCGCAAATACAGAAAAACTCCCTTGGCAGCCCTATAATTTTAGTACGAAATTATAGTATTTCGGCGAGTGAAATAGCACGGTACAACTTTCATTAACGTCGTGCATACATTCTGATACATTCTGTATCTTAATATGTTACAAGAATTATGTTTTTAATAAAAAATATGTAATATGATTAGAGCTCCGACTTTATATTTCGAGGATAATGTCGGTTCCATTTTCGATCCGGTGACTCGAAGACGTAAGTCACTTTCCTCAAATCTTAGTACAGAACTTCACACAGGCCTGACTAGATCCTTTCAAATTCTCTCTAACCCATCGCTCACATTTTCACTCTTCCCCCAAATTCGTCACTGTGCACTCAGACCAAGCGATGAAGATAATTAAAACGACATACTGGGGTAATTTCGGTAATTGCCTGTAACTATATAAAATATATAAGTCTTTAGTATATATATAGTAAAAAAATACCGAAAAGAAATTTCATTTTCTTTTATTGTTAATTATATACGATAAAATATAATTTATATAAAGTGGAAAACGTTAACACGTTTTGATTAATAAACAGAAAAAAATGTCTACTTCTGTTATTATTTAATATATCCCCCCCCCATTTCAATACTAGTTGAGCAACTAATTCTCTGGTGTCACAATGAGAATGGCTCCAAAGTATTCCATCGAAATAAAATCGAAACACCTTAAATGTTAGGCCTTTATTAATTAGATTTGTTTTCTTTTGTGAACTGGATTTTCACATGGGTATTTCTAGCAGCAGTTTTGTGCGGAAGTGAGTTCGCATTAAATAATATCAAATTATTAGATCTATTTGTCGAAACAAGACTGCATTTTACCTCAGACAAATTCATTATTAATGATGACTCTCTGTATTTTATCCAGTAAGCTAAAAGTTTTTTTTTCTAATTTCGACTGATTTTCAAACTCAGCACATCCGTAGTCTTAGCACTTCTGTTAAATTTTCTTACCAGACAGAAGCAAATTTCCTACCTTTCGCTCACCGACACTGAAACAGCTTTCTGAAGATTTTCCTGCATATGTAAGAACATCAACTAACCAAGAATTAAATAAATAATAACCGGAAGTTATACGATTATTTCTGTTTTTCCTTTTTTTGATATAGAGAAAGCTTCTGAGAGCCTATAGGTAAAATGTTTCAGACACATTAGAACAAAATAATTGTGGCTCCTTTATTAAGCAAAGGCACATAAAATAACAATTCTACAGATTTTAAGATATACGTGAGATTATCACCAAATATATGGATAAAGAATGCGATAAGGTAAAAAGACACTTGCGTACTTAAAATATTCATAATTTTCAATGGTCAGCTGTTCAACAACAAATCAGGATGGCTACAATGGGCTGGGCATGTAGAATGTATGTGGGCTATGATAAACGGCGCAGCATTTCAGTCGGAGAACCTGAAGGAAAGAGAGTATTTGAGAGACTTGAACGCTGGTGGGAGGATAGTATTAAAATGGCTCCGATTAGGGTCTATTGGCGGTGTCATATGGACACGGTAATGAAAGTTACGGTTCCTTAAAACACGGAGAATCTCTTAGTCAGTTTAGTGGCCACACGTTCAACGACTATGCTCAATGGAGTAGTCTGATTACAAGTAGGAAGGGATCTTATGGAAGCAAAATTCTGAAACTCTAACGTTCCGTAGGTTTCATACTGTCACGCAGTATGGAGAGTGACTATCCACGGGGTTTGCAATTGGATACTGAATTTATTGACCACTTATACACACAATTCGGAACTACAAGTAATTACAGCGTCACCGATAATCTTCACACTTCACAAATCACCACGGCACACGCTGTCTTTTCCAGCTTGCTGTGTCTTCACCAGCCGTTCCTTGGTAACGGCTTCTAACAATGGAGATTCTTGGAAGTCCTTTCTGATGGCGGCTCCCTTCCAACTCACTTCCAACTGTCCCCTTTTCACAACCTCCCGTACACAACTGACTTAGTTGCCCCATTTTTTTCTTGTAACCTCTCGGCACGGACCACAGTAGAAAATCCACGTTTCCAACAGTATTTTCTTGCTGCATATGCATCCGTTGCAGCGGGAACGTCTTTGCCGAGCCGTTCCATAGCAGCGGCAGTCTATTTCTCCTATTAAAATCTGTTGCCTGGTAGCGCATGTTATTTACGTCGTTTCTTTCGTGGTCGTTGCCTAGAAACGGGCCTGTACCCCACAATATCTTCCAATGATCTGACGGCTCTAAAATACCAAGAATGAACAGCGAGATGACGGAAAGAAGATTTTAAGGCCGATACAGCCATTAATTGCCACACGCCTGAAGACGTATTTGGAGAAAAAAGTGTTGAACACTTACTTTAGATCTATGAGAAATGACTGGACAATATCACATAATAAACGGCGACATAATTTGTATCCTTCTCCTAATGTTTCGGGGCCAGCAAATGAAGAAGGAAGATTTGGATAAGGCATACAATATGCAGTGACGAATAGATTAATTATTGCAAAATTTTGATCGTCAGGGAGGACACGTGCAGAAACGAGAATGTATTATTAAAATTATTCTTGTGTGTGAGTGTGGTAAATCGGTTTTATGTTTTTATTATTATTTTCCTCGTGGGGTGAGGCTGAGTCCACTTGGCACTGCGGCCACTACTGGCCTATTGTACCCGCCCCAGATGATAGATGATGGTGATTGTGGAGCAATTGATGGAATGAAGATTGGCAGGGGAGACCGACGTACTCGGAGAAAACTTTCCCCAGTGCCACTTTGTCCACCATAAATCCCACATGACCTGACCTGGGCTCGAACCTGGGCCGCCATGGTGGGAAACCAACGACTAACTGCCTGAGCTATACCCCGGCCTTGGCAAATCATTTGTGAACTCTAGACAGGAGAACATTTCAGGTTTTTATGAACACAGTGACGAACTACTAGATTCCATTTAAGTAGAGAAGTTTTCAACCACCTGGGTGATTTACAGTAGAGTCTGGGTTCAATCCCGGGATAGCCTTATGTAGGATTTGTGGTGGACAAACTAGCACTGGGGCAGATCCTTCTCCGAAAAATTTGGTCTTCTCCTGGCAAGTATCAATTCACCAATGTTCTATATTCATTTACAATCAGTAGCTGGTATAAAGAGTCCCACACAAAGACGCAGTTCCAGAACACTCTGTATCATCACAGTCCTGCAAATAAAACTAAAGTAAAAACAAGAAGTTCTGAGAAAGACTAATCACTATTTTCTCTTATACGACACAGACCGCATAGAAAACGAATTCCTCCAACAATTCATCTCTGATGCGGGAACGTTCTTGCCGAGTCAATGTCTAGCAACGACAAGGGGATATACAAACCGACCCGCAGACTCTCCTTTGATAGGACACGGGTCACACAGAAAACGATACGGCCAACAATTGTTCGTTGTTTTGTGTATTTGTGCCGCACGAATGTTTATACCGAACCGTTGCCTAGCAACGACAGGCAGGATACACGTACAGACACGTAGACTGACGGCAGAGATTTATGAAGTACGCCACTGAGATTGACTCAAGTGTCATTATATACACATATAATTTAATAAACACTGGTTCAGGCATTCAAATACTGATTAGGGGGATTAACAGACACAGAAACACAGACAGAATGGAGATCGCATAAGCCTATTTTCATTTTTTTAAAATAAGGAAAGTAGGGTTAAAGAAAGAGGTTCGAGTTCTTGTGATAGCCCCAGTACCATGGAGATAGTTCACCTGCGAAGAAAATAAAATGTACTGGACAATTAAAGTCTTATGTAAATTTATTAATTTAGTTAAATAAGCGTTATAATTCATCAGAAGTTATTTTGAATATTTCCCTGCTCTAAATAATAGAAGAGATAATGAGTTTTCTTTGCAGTAAATGTATTATACAACGCTGGATTACACAACTGTTGTGTACTCACTTGTACCAACTGATTCCTGCTACTATCACCCCCACTACAGCTGCGGCACTGCAACCAGCCACCAAAGCTGGAACAGATCGAAACAAGAGATTAACAATTTCACAGAAAATATTTCTGGAACAATTCTGTAAGATGTCAGCACTTCACCAACGCGGAAATATATTCTAAAATTGTAGTTGTAAGCAATAGTTTCTGCTGTTAACACAGTCGGAAGTATTTGTATGTGCTGTTTGCTGGAAGTACATAAAATGAAATCATAATGACTACCCCCACCCCGACAGGTATCCATACTATGATACAGTGGTGGGGCTTGCGTGTCATATGATACTGAGAGCTATGCTGGTGGTAGCGTAACAACTGGTAGAGTCTCCCATGCCTCCAAACAAAAAGGTACACCCTGGTCCTCCAGGTTGGGGGTTCAGCGTGGGGTTTAAAAACCTGCCCTGTAAAATGCCTTAATTATCGAGAAGTTTTAACGATTGCCGCTGGAAATAAACAGCTAAAATTACCTAGCAAAATTAAGGACTTACGAGTGGGAACCTGGATTGTGTAGTCTATATATAGTACATAAAAGTTGAGCACTTCAAGAGGATACTTGACGGGTACACAGACCTGCTATCAGGTGGCTGGATTCAGTTGAAGGAGATCTAAAGACAGTGGGCGTTAGAAATTGGAGACGAAAGTCATGGGATCGGTACAAACGCCAAGCAATCGTAAAATAAGCCAAGGTCCAATCTGAACTGAAGCGTCCGCAGAAGAAGAATGGCTCCTACAACTTACACATTCTCCATCTAAAACCTCAATGACTATGTCCTCTCAACAAAATAAGGTTAGAAGATAAGGCCGTAGCAATTAGTTGTCCAGTATTTGTATGTAATTAACCAGTTCAGATGATTTAAAGGAATTTAAATAAAGAGAACATAATATGAAGACATGGTCTGTTATTTGGTTTCCAACTTCAAAAGCATGGGCTTAATTACTCTTCATATTTCGATTATGGATGAAATCGATAGTGATACGATAAAATTAGCTAAATATTTGAAGAGCTGCTCGTAAAGAAATGGTATTCAGAGTTCCTAATTGAAAAGACAGACGCAAGCCA